GCAATCTAACATGCTAGACACAGCTATTCCTGTGTTTGCAAACGTGGCTGGAAGAACTCAGCTCTTTCTTAAGGTGATCACTCAGGAAAAGTACCAGAGCATACAGCTCGTCCCCGTGAAAAGCTAAGTCCTGTGACACGAGGGTCTGAGAGCCATATAGGCACCTAGGGGCAAAGTCATGTCAGTGTGGACTGGCTCAGTATTGCTTATGGGACCTGGCCTTTTGTGTGAGCCCCTGGCTTAGCTCCCTCCTCAGTAAGACAGATTGGCAAAGCCAGATCTTCCAACACAAATGAGTGGAGGGAGAGCGATTCCCATCAGCTGAAGAGCTGGCATGTTGAGAAATCACATAATTCTATGAGTCGGAAGAGTCTTTAAAGATCATCTAGTTCCAACCCCCTTGCTATAATAAACACTAACTACAGAATCTACGTTCACCAGCTATTAGGACTGAAGCAGGTTCAGAACAGCCCGAAAGTCATGGTGTCTGCCATCTACCTTACAACTACATGAGGGACGCAGCCTGGTGAGTGGTGGCCCTTGCAGGGCTGGGGTTCTCATGCAAGGGCAGTGGCCATACTGTCACCCCTTGGCCACCACAGCAAGACACTAGCACAGAGCTCTGCTGGGAGGATTTCTGCCACAAAAGTCCTTAGCAGCTCCATATGAGCAGGAGCTCATTCTGACTTATTTTGACTCATTCCTGACCCAAAAGGATTTAATTGTCTGGAGGTTTTATTCATCACTTTTACAGCTCAAGGGCTGCAAAGCTTCGTCAGAAGGGTGCCTGCATGTGCCTGCACTCACAAGCACACACAAAGCTGAAGAACTCAGAGATCTGCTTTTCAAGGGATCAGTATAGCCAGCTCAAAGCTCTGCATGACTGGCAGCAGAGACAGGGCTGGGTAGCCCCTGAACATCTCCAGTACCCTACATCCAAGCTGTGTGACCCAAAGTGACAGCCCAGCTTCAACTCAGGGATTATGTGATTGGCATCCTGGTCCAAGACATCAAAAAAAGAAAAGGACTTTTTCATGTTATACTTAAGGAGGTTAAAGCTCATCTTCTTTTGACAGCAGGCTCTTTTGTACAAGCGCTACTTAATCCAACAAAGGATGCGGTGCTGAAAAATCAACAACCTCTCTGGAAAATGCAAAAGCCCACTGTCTGTTTTGCTAGCATCACTTCAGCAATGCAAGTGTACGCTCCCTGCAAGTGTACAGTTCAGCCTTTTACTGCACTTAAAACAAGTAAAGAAAAATACTCCAGGCTTTTGGGTTTGCCTGTGCCTTTTCATCTTGGGTACAAAGGGATGCAGCGTCACCGGTACAAGCAAAGGCTCATGGCTGTGGGTGTCAACTTCTTTATAAGCTATGATACTCTGTTTCCTGATGGAGAAAAGTGGGGCAGAGAGGAAAAACAAAACAAGGTGGGCTGGTAAAGCATGGAAAGGTCTTAGCAGTGCCAGCAGGCAGTCTGGTTGAGTGTGGCACATCACACTGCCATCCATGGTTTTCCCTATTGAGATGGGGACTATGAGACACATTCCTAATGAATAATAGAAAGCACTTGGCTGTTATTTCCCTGTCCTTTTCAGTAGTGGCTAGATGTCAAAATCTGATGAAGAAATGCAAAGAAAGAGAAACACACTCATGTATGCGGAGCACATAATCTCTGGTCTCTGATAAAGGTTAAGCTCATCCTGTCTCCTCCCTCACAGCGAGGGGACAAACATTATTTCTCTCTTCTCCCCAGTGACCACTGACACATGTCAAAATACAGCTTTTTCAAAGCTCTCTCTGAAAACTGTAGAGAAAGGCTCCAAATGTTCCATAAGTTATCATGAAGAAACACAGGCTCCTCCTCTGCCTGGTCATCTATGCCTCACATCAGGATGGAAACCAAAGAAAATCCTCGTACCACTTTCTTTAAAACCAATCCAAGCAATGGCATTTGGAGTTGTGCCTACTCCAGCAACCCAGGGGATGTGGCAATAATTACAGAGCTATGCATCCTTCAATCACGGTATGAGGGAGGTAATTGTGGTATGGAGTAAGTGCAGCAGACTGGGAAGTGCTTGCTCTCGTGTTCTTGGACTCTGATTTGCCCCTGGCAAATCTCACATGCAGCTGGGGAGGAAAGTGGGTTTGGAGGCTATCTGAGCACCTACCTATGCTGAGAAGTGTCCACTGGGATTTTTCAGGTGTATTCCTATGCCAGCCAGACACAACTCCATGGAGATTGCACGGAATGATAGAATCCCAGGCTGGTTTGGGTTGGAAGGGACCTTAAAGCTCACCCAGTTCCAATCCCCTGCAACGGGCAGGGACACCTTCCACTAGACCAGGTTGCTCCAAGCCCTGTGTCCAACCTGGCCTTGAGCACTGCCAGGGGTGGGGCAGCCACAGCTTCTCTGGGCACCCTGTGCCAGGGCCTCAGCACCCTCACAGGGAAGAATTTCTTCCTAATGCTTCACGTAAATCTCCCCTCTGTCAGGTTAACAAAGTTAAAGAAATGAAACTTGGGATCAGAAACTCAAGAGACGATGCCCTGCTTGTGAAAATTGGATATCCCAATGGAGAGGAACTGGTTTTGCTTTCACAGAGTGCATTTCTGAACCCACTGCTCCTCCCTGCTTGCTCAGCTGATGCACATCTTCATTTCCACCATGCACGCAGACTCTGCCCAGCTGCATCTTAGCATCCTAGAATCAGCTGGGTTGGAAAAGACCTTTACAATCACCAAGTCCAGCCCTTCCCCCAGCATTGCCAAGTCCACCACTAACCCATGTCACTGAGGGCTGTAGAATTTGGTGTCATTTTTTTCCCACTGGGAAATGTCAATTTGTTGGGGTTTTGCAGAAGAGCCAGTTTCAGTGAAGGCTTGTGGATTCTCAGGGTTGTGATGGAAATGCTGGAGGGGAGGCAGGCAGGGAAGGACAGACTGATGTGCCCATGGTGGACTGGGATGAGCAGGGACTTGACCACCTTTCTGCAAAAGATTTGGGAAATGATTTCTCAGCTCATTCAGCTGTTGTGGACAGAGCTAAGAGGAAAGACCGGAGCAAAGGAGAACTCAGGGGTGGTAGCACTATCATCATCATCATCATCCCCCTCTAAAAGGGGAAAGGTGAAAAGATTTCTACAGCCAACCCAAAGCAGTAATCAGAAATCAAAATTCCTCAGAAACAATCCTTCCTCCTGGCTGGATTTAGCCACAGCCTGTCCTGATGCATCCAAGGGGTTAACTAACAAAGGTTAATTTATTATCTCTCAACCTAGTAAGAGCAAAGCACTTTGCTGACTGCTCCTAGCTTTAGGCAGCCACATTCAGTTCTCCACCAGGCCCTTGTAACCCTGATGATTCTGTGATCATGCTAAAACAAACACAACCCAAGTTTCCATTTTCCAGTGCCTATATCCTCCAGCACAATACCATTATCTTTCCCTGCCTACACATGGCCTTTTCCACCTTCCCTATGCTTCTGTTTCGTGGATTCACGCTGGCCCCTGGAATCAGTTCACAGTTAATGTGGATGCCCTGTCCTCCATACACAGGTTCTCAGCACGATTACTTTCTCAGCCACACTGCTGTGAGGTACTTAATTACATTGTTCATTTTGCATTTATTGGACTGTGCCGTGCTTCCCCTGCATTACTTAAAGAGACCCCCAGGCTTCCTGAAGGAAAGCTACCACAGGACACGAAGGAGCACGCTGTTCTCTCCAGCACAGGGCAAACGCACTGCTAAAAGTGTATTCTAATAGTGTATTCTAACAGTGACAGCTCTCAGCCCTTCCTTGGCTACAGCACTGCTGAAAACCCCTGCCTAGTCCACGTGTGTGAGGAGACACGGCCATGATGGTTTACTTTCCACTGTCATCGTCATCAGACAAATCCCTTGACCAAAGCTTGAGGAATCAACAGCACTCAAACAAGGAAACCTGTTATATTCCACTGGACAAACTTTAGTTGTCTCAGAAGTGTCCACGTTCAATGCAGACACTTCATTGAAAACAAGAAAGAGTGGTGCTGTGCCTTTGATACTGGAGACTAGTATTCTTCATATCTGAAGTGCTGGCTCTTGTCTGACAAAGAGCCAACGCTAGTAGATGTTTGGAGGAGACAGGTTAGAAAGACAGGAGAAAGGGTGAACGATTTCAGTGCTGTGGAGTACAGACTGTAGTTGGCAATAGACATTTCAATCACCAGGAGATAGAAATATAAGTGAATGCTCCCTTGCAGTCACTGATGGGACTTCCAGTGTGACTCCTTTTCTGTCACATTACATTAACTGCCATGCTGGGAAACTCAATAATTACTCTGCAGGCACTTCTGAAGACACACTTGTCAGAACAAATGATGGGGCAAGACTTGATGGCTAGTTAGGCACTGGCTGGAAACCTGCAAGCCCATCTCATGAAGGAACCAAACCAAACCACTGTCACTTCTCTGGGAAAAATATTCCCATATTAAACTTGGACAAGAAGAACAGGCTGAGCCATTTTACAGGGGGAAAGGAAATGGTTCCTGGAAAGTAAATTAGCTTCTGCAGAACAGAAATTACATTTCTGCTCCTGGAAGGATATTACCTGGTTTGCTTTTCCAGATGAGAAGTTCGGGAGCCGATAGATCAGTTTCCCCAATAGGAAATCCGAGTGTTTGAGACAGCAAAGGTGTTTTCCACTCAAAAGTCATGTCCACAGAAAATCCATAGCTAGAGACCATACAACCTGACATGGAACCTGCCCATCATCAGCTAAACCCTAAAATATTTTGTAGATTCCTCCCTCAGCAAAGTATCTCACAAGACAACCACCATTATCAGAGAGACATACCAATGTGAGGAACACACTACCCTCTTTAAATACCTCCCACTGCCCCAGAGAAAGGATGCCTTGGCCCACATTTGGGGTCTGGTGAGTTTCCCTTGCTGGTGCTCAGTGACGGCTACTCTGTGGATACGAAACTCTGAGTTACCAGGAGATGTTTGAACATTACCTCATGAGACAGATAAAAAGCAGCAATCCCCAATGGCCAGAAGCAGCAGAGCATGGAGAACACAGTGAGGCCGAGATGGTCTCTTGGTGGCATCATCAGGAAATTGTCTTCACTTTCGGTGTCACTTGAGTAATCGCTCTGGAATAGCAAGGGGAAGAGAAATAGAAAGGTGCTGGTTAATGGCATCATGATCACTCCTCTGCCATGGACCAAGGCTGTGAACATCTCCCTGGTCATACCAGGCAATTCCTCAACATCAACAGGCCTCACCAACTGTGTCACAGCCTCCATCACTACTAAATGAACTTGATGTGTTCTCTCTCTTAAAACACAATGCCGAATCCTGAGCTTACTGGATAGATCTTCCCTATCCAGAAACCTTTCTGACTTTGGGAACCTTTTGACCATTTGGCTGCATCATTGGCTGTCTTCACTTTGTTCCTGATTCTGGAAGAGCTGCACCTTAACACAAGGAAGCTCTGGATTCCCCATCCCTGGCAGTGTTCAAGGCCAGGTTGGATGGGGCTTGGAGCAACCTGCTCTAGTGGAAGGTGTCCTTGCCTGTGGCAGGGGGTTGGAACTGGATGAGCTTCAAGGTCCCTTCCAACCCAAACCAGTCTGGGATTCTATGACACCAGAGGAGCTGGACGTTAGAGGGTCCTCTGAGAAATCAGAATTACTTCCACCACTTACAGTCAGTTTGGGTTAGATGACCAATCACCAGTATGGTCCTTTCGTGTTTAACAGTCTCTGCATGGATTTACATGGAACTTTTCACAATTACATCCCGATATCACTAACCTGTCTGAAAGCTTTTCACTCTAGCAGAAGTTAGGGAATAGCATAGCTAATGGACTTGTAAGGTTTTAGTGGCGAGCAAGACGAAACAGGCAAACCTTTTCTTTATTTAATGTCACGTCACATGAGTTTAAGCAATCTGAAATACCGAACTATTAGGTTTTACTTTTTAGTGGTGTACCTCCAATGCACCCCCCAATCAAACAACAAGCAATCAAAAGAGAACCTGTGTAACCATTCAAAAGAATACCCAGCAAAGAGCATCCCTTTCCTGGCCAAGATACTCTGTTCATTGCTAGAGCAAAGATCCCTCAGTTACTCTGCTAATGTTACTCCAGGCTTTTTACTGAGCTGTTAAAAACACAGGCTAGTTCTCCTCTTTGAACAGAGCTCCTCTAACCTGTCAATCAGACAATGCCACTATCTCCATGATGCTAGAAACCTCTGAAGAAGAAACAAGGCAAAATGCATCCGGATGCAGCTGCAGTCAGGTGAGTGACAAGAGACAGGAGCAGTGTCATGGGGTGGTAAGAAACTGCAGCAGCAGCTGAGGGTCCCTTCAGGATGTGGAGGGATTCACCCCTTTTCAGACATGACGTCTGGCTCCAGCAGCTTCCACTGCAATTGCACAACACACAATATCTATAGAAGGCAGCTCTTTTCCACTGCAAGTCAGGCTCTGACTTGGAGACACATCTTTGTGCTGCAACGGGAAGGATGTAACCTCAGGTGGGTGCACAGTCCTCCCCCTGGCCAGGTGAGCTGTGCTCTCTGTGGCCCATGCAATGTGCTGCTGTGAGAACACCTTCCTGTGCCCACGGCCCTGCAGCAGGCATGACATCTCTCTAAATTACTGAGCACGCAGCAGGGATTTCCTGTTTCCAATGGATCCTTTGTAGCAAAGCTGTTATTGCAACCACAACCCTCCTCATCCTCCCTTGATTACTGCTACGCATCCCTCAGCAACACAACTGGAGCTCAGCTGAGAAGACAGCACAGGATAAAGCAATCTCTGCCTCAGTTTACCCACAAGCCTTTTCATGTCTGTGACAAGGAAGAGGTGACCTCAGGAGTGCAGGCATGACTGGAGTTGAGGGTCCCCTCTGCAGAGCATAAACTCTTGCAGAAAGCACACAGCACCCTGCCCAGACAGATGCTGATTACAGTGAATGACAAAGAAATCAAGCAGCCCTTTCCTTTCCCTCCCTCTTTCCCTTTCATTTTCCCTTTCCCATCAGGTCCCATCCCTCCTATTCTCCCAGGTAATGTGGGAAAAGGACCTGCAGACAATGGCCTGTCTCTGCAGAGGACTGGGTGGTGCCACCAGAAGTTTCAGGCTTTCACTGCATGACCCAGGTGGAACAGCCCCACACAAGACCTTTGACTGTGTTGTTTTTTACATGGTGCACATCTCTGCACACCTAAAATGCATTAGACACAGGTGGTGTGGGCAGGACATGAACTGCATTTCTGCAGGAACTGTCGATGTGACAAAGGATGAAGAGGAGAAGTGATCTTCCCTGCTCCCAGAGGGCATGGGATTTTGCAGCAGCTGGAATTTGGGTGCTAGACAAATCAACAGGAAATCTTGACCTCTGTATTCAAGGGGGCTGCTTCTGATGCTTCCCAAATGACCTGACCAAGAAGTCAGCCTTGAACATGACCAGAAACGTGGCCACCCTGGAGAGTGGTAGAACGAAGCTCAAACATCGACGGATTTTAGTCCACTGGCTCCTCCAGCTGATAGCAACGCTTCCTCAGCGAGTGCAGAATAGGGGAGAGAGAGAAGAGGGTATTTAATATGGGATATTGAATCACGTAGACACCCCATTCCAGAAAGACCCATGGCTTGGGAGCAAGAATGACCTGTCAGAGAGCAAGGCCTTCTGTACACAGTGCTGAATGTGGGGTGTGCGCTTTGGGCTGTATTTCACAAGAAGGACCACTGGAGCAGAGTGTTCAGTGAAGAGCAAGTTGAAAACAAGCCCCCTCTGCGATGCACCACAGGAGGAACAAATGTGATCCATGGAGAGGAAAGGTACCTCCTGAGTCCAGGTCTGGTACCACCGTTTCCCATGTTGGAGAAATCGGGAATCAGAAGGCAAGTACATGCATCATGCCACAGAGAAGTCTTCTATCCAGAAGAAAGAAGAGAAGCCGACCTCACTTGTAAGATAAATTTAAGATGCAATTTCACTACAGTCTGTAAGTGCCTGCATGAGTAGATAATTTCTGATCAGAGACAGCTCTTTCATTTGGCAGAAAAGCAGCAGAAACCCCAGCGGCTGAAAGCAGAAGAGATGAAGAGCAGGCACAAGGTGCAGATTTCTAATAGAGATGGTGATGAACACTTTTCTGCAGTTGTAATGGATTTTCTATTACATGAAGCCCTTTCTTAAATCGAGGCTAGCAATCCCTAAAAGCTACGTGCTTTACCTCAACCCAGACATGATGAGTGCACAGAGGCTCTGCAAACAGCCTCCTGTGGGCTGCCTGTGACATACCAGAGGCTGGATTTGGTGGTCACATTGTCCCTTACAGTATTAAAACGCCAAGCACGCTGGAGAAGTCAGACAACACGGTCTGCTATGAACCACCGCTGCCAGTAACCTTTGATAGATATTCAGGAAACTGCCCTCTTGGTATTACTCCCTTTTTCCTCCAAAGCAACCAATTCAGCAACATGCACACACTGCACACAAAACTAATTTCTGGTCAGGCCCTGTGGGATCTGCTTCAAATCCAGATGGTCCAGCAGTCTGATTGGGACAGACCAGCGCATGATACGACTGTAAGATAATATGTGCTCTGTTTCCCTCCACTGAACGCCTGCTGCAGTAATGCAGTTAAACATGATAACCCTGTTGTGACCAGCACTCTGCATCCCTTTACTCTTACTGCAAGCAGTGTGAGTTCACTGAAATGCAGCAGACATTGAAGGCAGCAAGCTGGGTCGGAGGTCTCCCACCAAGGGCTGCTCTTTATCACCGCTCTGCCTCAGCACACTTACTGAGTACGTGTGCAGCATCTGGCTGATGCTTATTGAAGAGGTGATGTCTCTAAAACCTGTTGCTATACAGAATCCCAGACTGGTTTGGGTTGGAAGGGACCTTAAAGCTCATCCAGTTCCAGCCCTCGCCAAAGGCAGGGACACCTTCCACTAGAGCAGCTTGCTCCAAGCCCTTTCCAACCTGGCCTTGAACACTGTCAGGGATGGGGCAGCCACAGCTTCTCTGGGCACCCTGTGCCAGGGCCTCAGCACCCTCACAGGGAAGAATTTCTTCCTAATGTCTCATCTCAATCTCCCCTCTGTCAGGTTAAAGCCATTCCCCCTTGTCCTGTCCCTAAATGCCCTTGCAAAAAGTCCCTCTCCATTCTTTGTCCTGGTGACGTATTATTTATTTATTCTATTTTCCCTATTTGTTTATTTCTTTTTTACTATTTTGAGTTTTGCAGTTGCTCCCTTTCAGTTGCAAAGGTCTTTAAATGATGCATTATCCACTAACCCTGACCTGGTCCAGCACCTCCTGTTTCCCCAACTCCCAGCCTGAATTGTCCTGTCAGTTGAGCAGCCAGCCTTGCAGAATGGGCTCACAGAGGTCTCTTCTTGCTTGGAAAGCTTTCCATATATAACCTTGCAAAACCAAAATGTACCAGGGGCAAAAAAAAACCTGGATACAGCTATCCAAGCACGTTCTTCCTCCTGTTTCCATATGAACATCTGCCTTGGGATGTTTTCCTGACACCCACAGCCGGTCTCCCTATAGCTCATGGACTGCACTGCGTAGCATCAGTCTGAAAGCTCAGGGAAGTGCTGATGGGAAAGGGAATCACTCTGGGCACCGGCTGCTATTAACAGGATTCATAGGAGGGAACTTGGAGACTGCTGAAGGTGACTTCCCAGCCATTGCTCCCTTCACCTAGGGCTGGTTAATAAAGGTTAATATCCCTTGGCAGGACTAAGTATCTCCAGACTCCAGTGGCTTCTCCTTTAAGGGAGAAAAATAAATCAAGCACAAATGAAGTGTAATCACTCTCATAACCTCTTAATAATGTATCTGTGCAGAAATCCAGGGACATAAAGTGTGTGTGTCCTATGGGGTCAGACCAATGGCCCATTGAGCCCCATGCTCTGCCTCTGACAGCAGCAGCAAGACATGACATAAACCTGGCCATTTTGCAGTCCATACCTTGCACTTCCTCAGCACCCACCACTGCTGCCTAAGAGGTATCCTGTGTTCTGCTGAGCATGTCCCATGGGAGAAAAGAAACTAAACCTATATTCCCAGATCCACAACACATCCCTAGGTGTGCCCTGGCACAGGGTGCCCAGAGAAGCTGTGGCTGCCCCATCCCTGGCAGTGTTCAAGGCCAGGTTGGACGGGGCTCGGAGCAAGCTGCTCTAGTGGAAGGTGTCCCTGCCCGTAGCAGGGGGCTGGAACTGGATGAGCTTAAAGGTCCCTTCCAACCCAAGCCATCCTATGATGATTCCATGATTTACTGCACCGTTTTCTTCAGTTCCTAATGTGCAGAATGAAGAAGATACTGTTTTCTCATCTGCGGTGACCAGCGAATTCACTAGTGTAAGGTGTAAGATCCTGAAGGGAAATGGCTATACAAGAAAGTACCTAAAGCACTCAAGACCCACACTAGCCTGCCTCTTTGCCCGTGCTGCAGAGCTCTCTGGAAAGGGAACCCCACCATGCTCAGGTCCCCAAGGGAATGTCTAAACATGTTTTCTGGATACCTACTCCCAGGGGTTGCTGAAGCTACAGGAGCTTGGGTCTTATCAGCACGATGCAGGACAATCCAAGCCTGTGCAAACTGGAAACATTAGGAGAAAGCAGGTACGTCGTGGGGCTCAACATGCATAAACACCTCCAGGGCTGCCTCTTCATGTTGCGGAAGACATATGACCAGGAGGTGCTTGGGAACACTGAGAAGAGGGGTTAGATGGAAGAGGACATGGCTTAGGAGCCACCTTCTCTCTTTGCATTTTCACGCTCATGTCCCAGGGATGAGTTTCACAGCAGCATCCAGCAGTTTGTATGGGAATAAAGGAAGGCAGGTTTAATTTGAAAGCACTACGTTTCCTTTCTTCTTTCCCTCCCCAGAACATTCTATTTATTTCATTTTCAGAAACTGTTTCAGACATACATCGCCGGGAAAAGAAACAAAAAAGGTTTTAAGAGAGTGCTCAGATGTATTCTTTTATGCTCACATATGAATAATTCAATTTGCTGCCATCAATAGCTTGGGTTTCTCTAAATAAGCCATCTATCTAGGGGCTAGGAGGGAAACTAGCAGGAGCGTAATATGACAAATGATGTTTCTGGATAAAAGATGGCACTGCATTTACACATGAACTCTAACAGGAAGGTATTGCAGCTGGTAACTCATGTACTATTTCATTGTTACCACATTTGACAAGTTGTCTGCCCATTAGTTTTGGTGTAAAGAACTCATAAGATATTTATAAACGTTCCAGAGATACCTACATAGGAAATCATTTGATTTCAGGGCTGGGCACCAAAGAGAGAAGTTTAAAGCTTTGACAGAAAGCACAGCCTTCTGTGCCCAGGCCTCATAATTGCTGGAGCAAAGTGGGGCTGTTAATGCTAATGAGAGATGTGTCTGAAACCTTTCTCCCTCCAGACAATTACGATTTGCTCAGGCAGAATAACATCGCACCAGGACCTGAGGAGCACTGCTATTAAAAACCAAATTAAACATGAACAAGTTGCAGCGATGTGCAGGGCCCCTGCTTCGGATCACAGAATCCCAGACTGGTTTTGGGTTGGAAGGGAACTGAAAGCTCATCCAGTTCCAAACCCCGCCACACACAGGGACACCTTCCACTAGACCAGGGTGCTCCAAGCCCCTGTGTCCAACCTGGCCTTGAACACTGCCAGGGATGGGGCAGCCACAGCTTCTCTGGGCACCCTGTGCCAGGGCCTCAGCACCCTCACAGGGAAGAATTTCTTCTTAATGTCTCATCTCAATCTCCCCTCTGTCAGGTTAAAGCCATTCCCCCTTGTCCTGTCCCTACAGGCCCTTGTCAAAAGCCTCTCTCCAGCTTTCTTGTTGTCCCCTACAGTACCACTTTGAAGAGACACCCAGAGCAAGCACCCTACATTGCAAAGGCGCCTAAAAATCCCACCAAGAAAAGCAAAAAGGTTTTTAATACAAACTAGATTTTTCCTTTGTCCTGCTTACTTTTCCAGTCCTTTTTAGCCTGTTCTCCAACACCTGGCTAAAGAAGGTCTTGCTGGGTTTGGATTGACAAGAGGGAGACGTATTTTTTTGCTGCCTAAATGTGGGGCTGGATGTGTCAATAACTCCATTAGGCAATTCCTGCTGCAGTCACTTGCATCACTACCGCATGAGAGGAACTAGGGCAAAAAGGCAGCAGCTAGGGATTTTGTTTTGATTAAAGAAACGAGGCTTCCCACAGCCAATTTTGAAGTGCTGTAGAAGGGTGTGATTTGAGCAAACACCCTTCACATGCCTCCGAGAGGAACTTTTTGTCTCCCTGCAGAGGCACTGAATGCTGTATTACTGGCACACGCTGGGAAAAACACCTCTCTTTTCCTGCCTTATGAATACAGGGGGGAAAAGAGAATAAAGGAGAAGTGAGGCTCTTGTTGGGTTGCCCCTGTGCTGATCACAGGCGAGACACTGGTATTACGGGAGGTGAAAATGGAAGTTTTAGGACTTGTTATATCTCAATGGAGAAAACCCCAGCAGAAGAGAAACACCAGCAAATAGTTGAAGCTATGGCTCTGCTCCATGCAGTCAAATGGTCTCTGCTAGGTCCTAGCCTCTGTAACCAACACTGGGTGAAGCAGCATGATGCACACCTTCCATTCCCACATACACGAATCTGTGCCGTACTTGAGCAGCCGGTTTCTACCAAACCCAAACAGATTTCTTTGGAAGTAAAAACAATGCATCATTTAAGAAAGCATAAAGTTGGTTTCCATAGTCTGCCCCATTTGGAGAACAAAATGCGTCTGGCTTTACTGTAAGCAATCAATGATGCATAGGAGCCTAAAAGAAAACATTGCATTTGGGATCTAATGAAGTGTTTCACTCCATCAGCAAATAAAATCTTTTATTTCAGAGATATGGGATTCATTGCGGTTTGAAACCCAAAGACTTCTGATTTTGTGTTCATTCCCAGACAGAAATGTTTCATATTTGATCCATTATGCAAAACAATCTGCTTATGCCTAGCTCAAGGCAGGAGAAAGTAAGAGACTATTAAGTTGGAATGCTAAGACAAGCTCTATGTATGCGGATGGATGCTGCCAGGCCCAACCTTACACAGCATTTAAGCACACGGGTCACCTTCAGTTTCTGATCAGCCCATTCAGAGACAGGAGGGAAATGCTGGTCTCCCAGTGGGACACTAGTGGGAATTTTGCCATTAGTATCCACGAAGTTGGGATGTACCCAACAAGCAAAGACGAGTGACAGCTGACTGTCCTGTCTGGAGAAGACGGTGATACAGCCGATCCCATGCAGACCAGCTCTTAGAAGCTGCACACCTAACCCCAAACATGTCCTCCTCCCTCCCCAGCCTTCCCCACGTATCCCAAAGGACATCTGACCTCTAGCTCCTGGAAGTCCTCCTCTTCCTCCACATCATAGGAAAGCGTGTGAATCTTGATGTCATCTGCTGAGAGGTCGATGAACTTGCTGTCCGTGTACTCCAGGCTGTCTTTGGTGGGAGAGCGGTCCTCGATGAAGGTAGTCTCACAGCACTCTGAGCTGATGCTCTCGCCCCACGAGCGCAGCACGTTCTCTGAGTAGAGGATGATGTTGGGCCGGTAGTGAGATTCCACTGTCTGCTGCAGCATGTTGGGGTCCAGGAGCTGCTGCACAGGGTCATTCCTGCCGTTCTCCAGGCAGCCCGAAGAGGAAAGACTGCCCGCTCGGTGGGTCTGGTACTGCGGGGTCGGGTACACAGAGACCAGCCCGTCTCGGCTCTCTGCCACCAAGTTCCTTGTATTAATTAATCCATTCCTTTTCCCGGCTTCGGTGATCTTATTGTGCATTAGCACACTGTTCTGCTCCACCACGCCGTCCATACTGGGAGGTGTCCGAGGGAGTAGGACGAGTGGCCTTTGTTTTCTTGTACCTTAGAGACAGGTCACACTGGGGCAGTGGCTCCCATTTTCCTGGGGAAGAAAGGAAACGGATATCAAGGTGAGGACAAAAGCAATGAATCAAGGCACCCAAATCAGTTTGTCTTCTGTACCACTTCAAGAGGTAATGAGTGGAGACTCAATATCAGCCTTCCAGCATCTGAAGGGGGCCTACAAGGATGTCAGAGGGGGAATCCTCAGGGACTGTCGTGGTAGGACAAAGGGGAATGGCTTTAACCTGACAGAGGGAGATGGAGATGGAGATGAGACATTAGGCAGAAATTCTTCCCTGTGAGGGTGCTGAGGCTCTGGCACAGGGTGCCCAGAGAAGCTGTGGCTGCCCCATCCCTGGCAGTGTTCAAGGCTGGGTTGGATGGGGCTCAGTTCCTCCTGAGCTGGCTTGAAAAATGTTCAAGGCTCCCATGGGACACCAAGCATCCACCCCACTTGAAGCCAGAGAGATTTGGCATGGTCCTGGAATGCCTCAGGAGATAGAAGGGAGCCTGTGCTGTTGCTCAGTCCTGCCACAGATCTAAGCATCCATTTGGCTGGTGGTTACCTGCCATGCATTTAAAGCAGCCTTGTAAACCAATCTTGCAGGTTCTGAGTGACACTTTTCCCTTGGGATGGAGGAAAAAAAAACCATCCAAACTGAGGCAAGGAAAAGACAGGGACCATCCTTGCCGCACAGAGCTCCTCCAGCAATAGGGCAATGCATTGCTGAAGACATCCTCTCCGGAGTCCCGCATAGCAGTGCAGCTTGCATGCCTTGGGGAAGGTCAGCACAGAGAGATGCGGATGGCAGCAAGCAATCAAGGAAAACTGTTTAACCCTACAGTTGTTCCTGGCTGTAGTTACCAGAATCTGACCCAATGTTCTTGGCTCTGCAAGTGTATTGCTTAATGATAAAGAGCGGGTGAGACTTTCATGCCGCTTCATTGTAACATCTTAACAGGAGAAAAGAAAAGGAAATAAAATAAGGTGGCATTGATTTTTCCTTTCCAGGTGAAATTCCCAAGTGCCTGCCCATTAAGTTTAAATCAATAGCACCTTGATTGCCAGTGCATTCTGATGCATAGCTCTAACAAGGTCAATTGCTGTCTAGGGAAACAGAGAAACTGTTGAGGTACCCAGAGATCCTTCATCAATATAAAGGCAGGATTAAGAGCATTGTCAGCCACAAATGAAATTTCACGTCCTCAGGGATAAAAGAGAACCTCCCCTGGGATTTTCTCTTCTCAGTCACTGGCTGAAGGGATTTAAATCAGATTTCCAAGGCCTTTGTAACCAGCTGCTACCTTGGTGCTGGTGGGAGAATAAGACTCAAAGGCTGGAGTTCATTTCACCCACTGCAGACACCCAAAGTGCTTCTTGGGGGAAAGTAATTGCAAGGTGAACAGGACTGGTGGGCTCAGTTTCTCTCTGGAGCAACCATACCCATGTGATATACAGGGTGGGGGCTCTCAGCTTAGTACCAACCTTCAGATGAGTGAAGCCAGGTGAAATGAGTCCCCTGTGTTCAGATGGAGGACAACGGAACGTGGCCATGAGTGATGTTCAGGGGCCAAAGGCAGCACGTGCTTATGCAGTGGCTCAGAGCCTGTATCCTGCCTTCAGGGACTCCCTGGAGGTGGATTCAGCCACCATCCTTTCAGCAAGGGCTCTCACTGACCTGACCCAGGCCAGGTTCACAGGCCTGCATTAAGATTGCCCAAGTTTCCAGGTCAAACTGCAGCCCAAAGGATGGAGCAGGTAACCTCCCATAGACCACCTGGGGGAACTGGAGGATGCCTTCCCTGCAGGGAGCCAACACTCAAAGCCAAAAGAGACACTCTCATTACCTAGGACAGCAGTGAGGTTTCAGAATGATGCTGACAGGAAAACAAAACTCATCAGAGACCTTTAAATAAGAGATCTGTTCAGTCTGCTCCGAGATGCAGGGTTAATTTAACGGGTTTGAGCCAGGTTTCATTTGTCCTTGCACAGTTTGGGTTTTTCCCCCATAAACCACTCACTAGTACCCAGGCTGACCAGAAATAATTCTGCATTTCAGACTCGAGGCTGGAACCAGAAAGGAAAACCAAATTCAAGCTACTGACAAATATATCAAAGTTCACTCTAATTTCTGCCTTGGGATTAGACATTTATACCCAGGTCTCTGGCATTAAAAGTGAAGCCATTAGTTACTATAACCTTCATTCTTTCTGATTTCTTGCATTTCTTTTCCCCCTCTCTTTCTTATTTCAATAAGAAGTTGCAACCAGTGCCAAGATACTCAGTCTGCAATGCTGTGCTTTATTAAGCTATCACTTGTGCTACAGCAGAGCCCAGCCACAGTAGCTGCAGTGAGAGCTACGCTCTGCTGGGTGCTCTGCAGCCTCCTGCTATGATGACAGGGGCTGACAAACTAATTAAGCAAAGGGTGTGAGGCAGGTAAATGCAAGCTGGAGAGAGGGCAAGGAGTGAAGAGCTGAACACTCTGCCCCAGCCCGACAAGGAGCAGAAGCCAGCTTTGCTACTGCCTTCCACCCCCAAACACCTTTGCTCTCCTGTGACGTGGCAGGATGCTGTGGTCCTTCTGCCTCCATGGGGCTCCCCCCTTTACACAGCTGTAGCACAGCCTCAGAGTGCTTCAGCCTCTTGCAAACCCCTGCCAGGTACCAGAAGTCCTGTATGAACAAGCAATTCAGTTACCTCTGAAATACCAGGCTACAGCTGAAACACCCCAGCCCTTCCCTCATGACAGACCAGGACATTCATCCAGACAGACCAAACATCATCAGGTTTATTGGATACGATGGCAAGCTATGGTGAGGCTGAAGGCAGGGTCCCCATCCACTACCAAGGCTTACGGCCATACCCACTGCCTTGCCCTGCAGTTCTTGCAGAGCATCAGCCAGGAGAAAGGGCTCAAAGAGCTCATGTATCTCTGCATGGGACCCTGGATATCAGCAGAAATCCTCTCCCCATGAAGACAGTCAAGCATTGGAAAAGGTTGCCCAGGAAGGCTGTGCAGTCTCCATCCCTGGAGGTTTTTAAGACCCAACTGGATAAAGCTCTGAGCAACCTGGTATGACCTCATAGTTAACCCTGTTTTAACCATGAGACTGGACTAGAAACTGTGTGAGGTTCCTTCAGCTTGAGTTACGATCCTATGATCCAACTCCCTCTGCTTCAAAGTGATCCCCACTGTCTTCTGTGCTCCCAACAAGACGTTTGCTGCTCCCACATCCTTCTGCCAACCCCTCAGCGACTCAAAACCTAACAACACCAGCATGGCCAGAAGGAACAACAACCACTTTTTGCAGGGCTGTGCCATGAGCAGGAACTGGAGCAGCCTCACAAATCCCAGATCCACTAGGGTTGGTGCTGGTTCCCTCACAGAAAGCAGAAAGGAGAAAGCCTCTTGAAGAGCAGACAAGCCAAATGGTGAGAGCTGCAGCCTGATGAAGGGTTGGAGGATGCAGGTTTCCTGGTGCAAGCTTTCAGTTATAAGGGATAATACAATTAACTTCATCATGGTTTAAGGTATTCCAAATACCTGGAAATTGCAACAACACATATGGACCTTTTAATTGAGAGAAGCCTTCACGCAATGCATAGGTTTGGAGAGCTGATTACAAAGTGAAATATTTAAGGAAAGGAGGGGGGGGAAATCCCTTTCCCACTTGTATTTTTCTTCTTTGTTTTAGCTGGGCTTATTAAAGTGGTTTTGGTTTAAGAGAACGTTGCTATTTCAGCAGCTGAAATTCCTTTTGACCTATTAAGTAAACTACAGGGAGTTTTGTAAGGCAATGCAACTAGCTCACACTGGGAGAATTAGGAATGCATGCATTAGTGATAGCTAAATGTTTACTTGCTAAGAGTGGAAGCAAGAAGACCTCCATGCTATTTTAGCATTACCAACATGCAGCAAATCCACTGTGAGATACGGACCTGTCCTGCCCTGAAAGGAGGCACTCAAGAGTGCAGTGAAGTGGCCAAGGTCACATCAGACACAGTAGCGGAGATGGAAACAAAATCCAGGTCCCCTGATTGCCTGTCCAGAGGTGTATTTAAATGTGGAAACAATTACCATATGCATATTAGTTCTGTCTGAATAATTGATTGCTTGATTCAGTAGCTGAACCAAAGAAGGGGGGAGGAGAAAGGAGGAATTACCTTGTGTTGACTTAAAACATTATCCCTGCAACAAAATATTTCCTTTTGAGCAGATGGAAGCGTCTCGCCTGAGCCAAAATTAAATGTGAGTTTCATATATTTATTTTTAATTGAACAAACTGGGGTTTAGTTCAATTTTCCTCCAGTTGCCTCCAAGGAAAACCTGGCGCGTTCTGGCTTTTCTAGCAGTCCTCCTTCCCGACTCTTCCGAGAGCCTCAACTCTTGGTTGAGTTCAGTCCAAATTCACCACTTGTATCGTCCGATGATAAAACTGTGCTTTCCAGGTCACAAATAACTGCCCTGACTAACAACACATGACTGTCATGTAAATAGCCCTAACTGCATCTCCACATCAGCAGTGCCTTTTGAGCCTAACACACTCTCTCCTGCCTTCTCCTTCTCTCCTGGCTGCAGATATAGACCTTCCACTCTGAGCCTGGCTATCCAGTAGCACACGCAGCACAGGATGCCATCACACCAGCTTGTATCTGTGGTTCAGCACTGTGGTTCAGAGGGTCCCCAATACCACTGAACAGGACCATTTGAGAACCCCAAATGTATTCAGCCTCATCATACCCCTCTGAGCCCCACCTCCATTGCAGACTGGGGAGATGGAGTTACGAGCAGTGATTCTTGCTTCATAAAGACCTATCTTTCCTAACAGAAGGCTAAGCTGACCTTCATTCTCCCTTCATCCATCCCAGAAAGCTGTTCCGTAAAACTCTCTTGATTATGTCCAGCACATTAAAACTAACCTTCGGGAGATAATAAAGAGAGAGACACATAATGAAGTAGCTCAGGTCACTACCTTCTGCAGCATGGTCAGGCTGAAGGCTCTTTTGTCAGCTTGAGGAGCAGTAAATTGTGCTGCCTTTCACTTTTGAAGCAAGCAAATACAGCTGTGCTCTGGGGTGTATAATTGCATCCTTAATTGCTGAGTGTCTTCATGAGAAAAACTTCTTCCTAAGTGAGCTCCTCAGTCTTCTTGGTCCCTATGCCGCAGAGTCTGGATTAGTTGCTGAGGGTCAATCTAGATTTAAGGATCTGGGAAAGACTAAGCTACCACCAAACCCCTCTGCCTAGTTTTAGTATTGCAACAGAATATTTCCAGCTCAGAAGAAGCTACCTGATGCTCTGCCCTGTAGGAGTCTGCAGCAAGCCAAAGTCCCTCCTGTACACAGCAGAGCAACTAAATGAACCCCGAGATGCTCACCCACGAATATCAACATTACAGCATCACCCGGGCCTCTTGGTCTGCCTGCACCAACTCCAGCACTTCCCTTTGACACAAAATCCCTGTTTAACTGTGTCTTTAGCCAGGCTGGCCCACAGACAGCGGCACCCAGATGTGGCTCAAGGGCTAAACTCACTCAGGTCTCATTCCTGATGGGCAGCCAAGCACCCGCACAGCCCAGTTCTTGCATACACCCAGCTCATCTGGCTCTACTCGCACTCCCACGTTGCATGCGAAAAGCAAAGCAGGACAACGCGCCAGCCTCACACTTGTGCTGCCTGTAACACACCAATACTACGCTCTAGGCTGGGATTTGAGGTGTTCCCGAAGCAGGAGTGGTAAATAAAGAGAGGACAGAACAGGAGCACAGCCTGGTGGTGAAGGCTCGGTGCAGAATGAAGGTTCCCATTACCTCCTGCCCTGAGCAAAGCACCCCAGGGCTGTCAGTCACTTTGCTAAAAGAAGGCTTCTGTAATAGTGTGAAATTGCCAGTGCCAGTTTATCAGGGCGAGGATGATTTGATTAAGCAGCCACTGCTGGGGCAATAAAATCGGCCTTGCTTCATCAGGCTCCAGAAGAATTGCAGAGCCAGGAATACGCTGTGGGACACAAGCTTTACAGGGTGATTCAGATGTAGCCAGACTGGTAGCTGGAGGCATCCAGGGTAGGCAGGGAAACACTGAAATGTAGCGTCAGTGGGTGTAGATTGACCTTTACGGACCTTTTTTAATCCCATACTCATCCCTCCCTGCAGAAGTCAGAGCTGAAATGAATAATGGGGCTCATTAGACTTGGGGCATTACCAGAGCCTGAAGAAAAATCCCATAACCTCCTCCCTCTGAGAGGAGAACAACCATGGGACCAAGAAGATTTCTATATGGGAGGCATGGGCATCTGGCTGGCTGCAGATCAGCTCCCCATTGCCTCCACGCTCTTGCAAGCCATGTGCAGTGGGGAGAAGGGATATGGTTTTGTTGCAGTGAGCACACGAATAGGAGCTGGAAGGCTTTAATTATGCCATGATTGTCTTCCAAGCAAATTATCCATTCACAAGCTCTGTTTCAGAGCTCTTCGTTCTCCCTGGGGATTTTTAAGGGGTCCAAGCTCTCAACTCAAGCACATAAACCCCATTAAAGCGCTGCTTGAATGATGCCAACTTGATGTGAACCGTCAGTTCATTCATCCCGTGCCTCATTGAACTAAAGCCTTAAAGCTTAAGAACAGAAATGCTTCACAGCATGGATTTGGATGGATGGTTAAGAGAGAACTTCACACATTCAGGTTGTATATAGACGCATACACACGAATACACATCTAGAAGAATGCTAGGTATAAACTGTGCTAACAGCGTGCTAATGACTCACACCTGGCATGTTCTGCACCTCTGTTTTGAAATTCAGTTTTTGCTGGTGCAAGGAAAATAACCAGAGTTTTCCACTCTCTCCATGTGATGACACCAAACTCGAAGCACAACATCTTTCGATTCTTAGGTGCGGTAAGTTGCACCACTCTACCCAAATCCTCAGAGTCACACCTGATGAGGAGCATTTTGCTGTCATCTCTTTGCTCAAAGTAGTTTCCAACTTTTACTAGGGAAAGAGCATTGAGAAACCTTTGATTTGATAATCAGGGGATGTGCCTTCAGACACCAGCAGATGCTCACACACACACAGGCACTATTCACATTTGTCAAAGCAAAGCCACTGAACATGCAGAGTAATTTCCTCCTGTTTAAACCTCTGCAGTTCTTTCCCACTTTTTCCCAATGGCCCTGTACAAACAATAACCTGCAAGGAGTCGAATCCCCAAAGCGAAGAAAACATTCGGAAGTCCCAGTGTGTTGTCTGCAATCTTAATAACCACATAGGCAGTATTAAAAACTCTCCTGAGCAGAAGGATTTGTAGCTGTCTGCGGATAGGAATTCACAGTAAAGACCAAAACCTCTTATCCAACTATGTTGCACCATCGCTCCAACACTATCCTCAGAATCCAAAGTACTTTGAATTCACAAAGCAGCCTTCCTCAAGCTAAATGCATAGTGGTGGTGGCCATCTACACCAGTACTGCATTGCATCTGCATTTGTACAACGAAGAGCGTCCCTGTGCCTGTGAGACTGATTCCAGCACCAGTGGTGGGAGACATCTGCTCTGCCACTTAATAAAACGGGACTTCATTTAATTCCTACAAATGCATTTCTCCTATGTACAGCCTGGCGTGACCTGTAGTTACCAGGATGCCAACAAAGTGTCACCTTGGCCAGTAAAATCAAAAGTGGCTTATTCTTTGGGGTAAGATAATTGGAAACTAATCTGGAGAGCATCTAAATGCAGCTACTTTGAAGATGATAGCTCATTAACTATAATTAAGAGCAAGTCATTTAAATACATGAATGTAGAAAAGTGCATTCTCTGCTCTGACTGCAATAATCCCCCTGAAAGTACCAGCTAACTGGGTTTAAGAATATCAAAGCATCTTTTAATTGTTGTTAATGCCCTGTTTAGGAGGGATTAATGCCTAATTATTTGTGATTTGAATATTTAAGCTCCCTGGAAAGTTTAGGGTGTTTTTTTTCTTTGGCTTCATTCTCTCTCATTACACACTGAGGCTGCAGCCTCTTGGCTCCAGCTGTTTTGAAGACACAGCTCAACAGATTGCTCTCCAGAGGAACTCCTGCCACTGCTGCTCTTATGGGGGGACAAAACCTACCACGACCACCACCACTCCAGCACAGACCATTGCACCTCTCCTCAGCACACTCTGGACCAGCAAGAGCTGCCAGTCCTCCTCCAGGAAGCTTTGCACTCCTGCAGTGCCGGTTCCAGAAAGGTCTCAATGCACTTGCCAGCCTCTTCCGACTGAATCATAGAATCAACCAGGTTGGAAAAGACCCTCAAGCTCATCCAGTCCAACCAATGCACTTGCCAGCCTCTTCCGACTGAATCATAGAATCAACCAGGTTGGAAAAGACCCTCAAGCTCATCCAGTCCAACCATGACCCAGCACTGCCAACGCCACCACTAACCCACGGCACTGAGGACCTCTTCTACACCGTCTGTGAACACTTCCAGGGATGGTGACTCCACCACTGCCCTGGGCAGCCTGTTCCAATGCCTGACTGCCCTTTGGGGAAGAAATTGTTCCTCATCTCCTGTCTAAACTTCCCCTGGTGCAGCTTGAGGCTGTTTCCCCTTGTCTTATCCCTTGTTCCCTGGGAGCAGAGCCCAGCCACCTCCTGGCTCTATCCTCCTTTCAGGTAGTTGTAGAGAGAGATTAGGTCCCCCCTGAGCCTTCTCTTCTCCAGACTAAAGGTTATTCTTGATCTTCTGAAGGGTTCTCCTTGATCCCTTATGGGATGCTTTAGGAGGATGGGGCAGCCATGGGGGACCTATCCAAGGTCACCCCTCTCAGCACCTGAGTAGCAGAGACCACTCCTGCCTCTTCACCTGAACCATCGCTCTCTCTAACTTGGCTGTCACTGCCAGCAAACTAAAGGATGGGAAGAAAAATAAATTCAACGCGGCGCCTCTTGAGCAGGGACAGGGCAGCGCAGCCCCTCTTCCCCTTCCCAGCCCAGGGTCTACCCTGCACAGGCAGGGTACAGGGTACTGGCAGGGAAAGATGCTCTGCCCCCATGATCTGGAGGGGTTCCTCCTGGCCAAGGGAAGGGAAAAGGAGCACCCCACGCGCACCTTCCCTTCCAGCGCTCCCAATACAAACCTTGCCCCTGGAAAAGCCGGATCCCTCCTTCACTGACACCCCCCTCCCCAACCCCGGGCAAGACCGGGCGTGTACGGCACCGAAACAGCACCGCGGCGGGTGTCCCCCCGGCTGGGGCAGGATCCCTGCGGCCCCGGGGTGGCTCCAAACCCCCGCGGCTGCCCACCGGGAACCCCGGTCCGGAGGATGGGGATGGAGAGGGTTGGTGCATCGCTCCCCAGAGGGAATGGGGTGGAATGAGAGGGAATGGAATGGGATGGGAAAAGGGGGTGTCGCTCACCTGCAAGGTGACCCGCAGCGCGGTGCTCCCTCGCTCCCTCCCTCCCATCCGCCGGGGGCTGCAGGAGGGGCTGCCGGGGGGGACCGGCTCAGCGCCCGGCCGGGGACAGCGGCACCATCCCGACAGGCGGGAACCGGGACCGGAGGCTGGAGACCGGGGACCGGGCAGGGCTAGCGGGCGGCGGGGCTGCACCGCCGGGCTGCACTGTGCGCTTAACTCCCGGGGAGGAGGAGGAAGGGGAGGAGGAAAGGAGGAGAACCAGCCCTGCGTGGCAGCGCGGCCAACTTTCCTCCTGCAGCAGGAGCAGCATCACATCCCTCGCTGCTTATCCCCCCCCTCCCCCGGCAAAATCTCCTCCTCCTCCTCCCCGGCCCTTCCTCCCAGCCGGGGTGTCTCCGCTCAGCGCCCACTCCGGGGGTATCGGCTGCCCCCCACTCCTTGCTCTGCCAACGAGGCTCCCGCAGTCACGCAGGCACCTATGTGCTGGCAGCTGCCTGTGCTGCTGGGGGATGCACCAGCTCCCCGAGGCGATGGGGAGCTCCAGCAGGTCTGAGGAACTTTGCGTGTTTAATTTCTCAAGTGAGAGCGTGCCAGGCTGTGTGCTGCAGCACTGGGGAGGGGAGGAAGGGGGGTGTTCCCTTGTCTTCCTAACCTGTGCGTAATGCGGGTGAGCTTGGCTCGTTCATCCCCCTTCCCATCCCCAACAGTCCTGCTAGCCAAGTCATTGCCTAAAAGCTTCTCTGACACTTCTTTCTAGATGCTTCAACATCTACGGCTCAAAATGCTGCTGGAATATTACATGCCTGGTTTAGAGCACTGCTTGCCTTGGCCACTGCAGGTAGAGAGACACGAGGCCTTTTTATAGAATCCCAGACTGGTTTGGGTTGGAAGGAATCTTAGAGCTCATCCAGTTCCAACCCCCTGCCATGGCCAGGGACACCTTCCACTAGACCAGGTTGCTCCAAGCCCCTGTGTCCAACCTGGCCTTGAACACTGCCAGGGATGGGGCAGCCCCAGCCTCTCTGGGCACCCTGTGCCAGCGCCTCAGCACCCTCACAGGGAAGAATTTCTGCCCCATGTCTCATCTCAATCTGCCCCTCTTGTTGCCTTTGCCTCTCTCCCCGAGTTAAGACTGATTTCTCTCCCTGCATATTGCTGGTTGTTATCCATAATCCCAAAATAACCCCTGCCAAACCTGTGCTGAAGGAGAATGTTCAAGATTTAAACCACACATGAACTAACTTGAACCTGTCTTGGGGATTTTCTGCTCTTTCCCCTGTTTCCCAACATTTTAGTTCTCTCCCGAACTCCAACTTCCAGCCTATCCGAGTGGTGCTCAGAAAAGATTTTTCTCTCCATCTAAATATCTGGTTCATTTTTGCTCCAGTCTTCAGGCAGGGTTTGTGTCTTAGAGAAAACAGTCTCTTTCTTAGTGTAATAGGCACTGGGAGAGAATAAATACATAATCAGCTGAAAAAATAACCCCGAATTATGATCACCCTGATTCTCCAAAGTGCTTTTCACCTCTCCTTCCTTGGGAATAGAAGCCTGTAAACCACAGTCATTATGCTTTTACCGAGTAACACTTTGAGGAAAAAGGCTGGCTTTCTGTTCTGCTTGTAAAGGAACACAACTGTAGGGGGGGCAGCTTCAACCAGATGACTTTGAGCTGCCACAGTGCAGCTACTTACGGCCAAGCACCGGCGATACCAGCTGGCTTGGATGGATGGTAGATTCCTGGCAAAATAGCTTTAGTGACCACAAGTATTTGTGGGACAGGAGGAAATGGGGCAACATTTCCAAAAGGATCTGTTAGATTATTTGTTGTTTTTGTTTTCTTGCAATTAGAAGCAAACAACAGCAAAAACACAGCAGGGAGGAGATTTCTGGGGCATCAATCAAATTTTCTGGCTTCCAGGCAGCCACATCCTGTGATCCTGTTTGTTTTCTTCTGACTCTTCCCAAACAAAGTGTTTTCTGTGCTGTTACCAAGGGGAGGCTCAGTGACATCAGGAAAATACTGATTTTCTCTAATGCCATTTCTCCACCTTTTCCATTCTTGCACCAAACTAGATCATGTTCTTCATTCAGACCATGAAGACCACTGGCCTTTGTGTCCATGAGGAAACCAGGCCTCATTTGGTTGAGTTCTGCAGCAGAACCAAGACCATCCCAGTGGAACAATCCCAACCCAACACCTGCAGCGGCTGTCACTGTTGCTCCAGACCTTCACCCTGCTGCAGTCCTACAGTCTTCACCCTTTTTAGCTGCCAACCTCTTCTCTTGCTGAAAACATCCCAAAAAGGACCTTACCGGTGCACTTCCCTAAGCCTGGCATAAATTGGCTTATTCCTGATGCTGGGAGCTAACGACTACCCCTGATTTGATTGTCCACCTTGTACCCTGCTGATTTTTGGAGAGAGATTTCTAAAAGACCAATAGAATGGGACTTGTGGCAAGGTGAATTGCAGCAGATTAGTTTGTGATTTGGGGTTTCTCCAGCAGCGTCACCGAGAGTTCTATTCAACACCATGTAAACATGCACAGTGTATCCTCAATGCGTTGTGCCAACACATTTCACAGCTTCCTGGGTGGGAAGGAACTGGGGAGATTCATGCTATGTGTTTAGCAATGGTCGCTAGCCATTGCTAGACACAATCTTTAGAATCTTAGGTGGCATGGTTTAGTGTGAGGTCCCCCTGACCATGGCAGGAGGGTTGGAACTGGATGATCTCAAGGTCCTTTCCAACCCTGACTATTCTATGATTCTAATCTTTCCAATTCTAAAGGCGATTTTCATACCTCTGGGGTGATGCAGATGTACCTCACTAGGAAAGGTTCTGTGACAGAGAGAAACATGAAGAAGTGTTGGGAAGGGGCAAGGCAGGGGAGGAGGAGAAGTCTACCTCCCTTGGGCCTGATGGCTGCTGGAGGCTCACTTGAGCTGCTTGCTATTCTAAGTTTATGCCAGCAACCTGCTAGGACAAAGTACATAGCAATCAGGGACCTCTTCTTGCTTTATGAACTGGGATATGAGCAGTTGCTCCCCAGGGCTTCCAAACAGGGCTTGGTTGTGGCCTGAGCTCCAGAGAAGCTGCTGTTCAAAGATCTGGTGAATAACGAGAACAAGATTAATCCTTGCAAAGAGGAAGAGTGGAAGGGAAGGCTGCTTAGAGCATAGGAAGAGATAGGAGGGATGAAGGGCAGCCTAAGGTTGGCTTGGGAGTCTCCATGGGTCCTGCTATCTGTGAGGGGCTAGAGATCTGGGAGTCATCAAGGCAGGATGTAAAGAGGAAATGCCGGCTGGAAACAGAAATTACCAGAGATGTACAAACAACTGTTCCTGTAACTCTGGGTTTGGCAGAAGTTAAGGAAAGGGTGAGCCTTTGCAGGTATATAATGTTATATCTCCAGGGAAAAGCATTTCACAGCTGGCTGTTCTGACTGGGGCTGTTACAATGACTTGCACTGACCAAGCATTTGACCACTGGCCTCAGTGTAACTTCCCTAAGTCACAGCACCTGGCTGGAGAGTCACACAGACCCCATTGACTGCCTGCTTTTTGCTCCTCTGGATGCTCTGCAGGACCATTAGCTGTGAGAGCTCTTGGAGACAGAGCTGCTCTGAAAGCCTCCTGGCCAAAACCTCCTGGGAGGCACCACAATGCGGAAGCAGGAAAAAGTCCCTGTCTGAAAACCACATGTGAAACGCTGCAGGAAGAGAGGATGAGCTTTGCGGTAGCTATGAGGATTTGGGGAGCATCCTTTGCTGGTACATCTGCTGATGGACTAAAACACTCACGGGAGCTGGTGGGAGCAAATCTAGGCTGTGGTCCTCAGCTGTGCAAACAAAGTCTGAGGGTCTCAGTGGAGTATATGCTCTTCCAGTTTCCAGGGCACCCTGAACAGGAAAACGGAAAGACAGCGACCTGCAAGTGCATCCCTGGGCTCTAGGAAGAGCAGCAGCACCACCTATCACCAGAGAAGGAAGAAGGAGAGAGGATGGACCAAGTGCTGCTCCTTCTCACTGCTCCCAGCACAAGATCAAAGCCCAGACCTTTTAGATTACCAAAGAAGTTTCCTTCTTCCAGCAGAAGAACCTGGGTTACACCTTTCCCTGCAAGCTTTCTGCTAAAGGCTCCTGCCGGCTCTGGGAATGGCTCCTTGTTTATGCAGCATCCTTCACTGCAGAGGAAACAAAACGCCACTTAATACCTCTAAAGCAACAGCTGGGTGGTTGACTGTCCCCTGCGGTCCTCTTTAGTCAGCCAAAAATCCTGGCACCATAGGTACCCGTGTGGCCTGAGCCACGTTTCGCTTGATGATAATTCAGAGCGATGGTACAGAGCAAGCGGGAAGTAGCCCAAAATCTGTAACCTCTTCCTGCCAAAGGCAAGAAGAATCTTTCCATTTAATTGGATTAGACCCTGAAGGCATAGCCAGGAGTGCTTTTAGCTTTCTGGGAAAGAAAAAAGGATTAGCCGAGATGGCTGAGCTGAACTTTGTGTTGATTTGCTTGCTGGTAGCTCTTTATATTCTATATATTTCATAATAATGAAAATGCTTGACTTAACCATTTTTATGTCTTATTCTGTATTCATGGCAGATTGAAAATATATATATATTCCTTTTTTTTTTTTTGGCTGGGTGAACCATGTAGCTTAGCTCAAAATAAAGTGTTTAATTGCTTTGGACTCTTCTTTACTCTTATAAACTGGTTATGGATGCTTACATGCAAAAGCAAGAATCTATATGCAGTCACTGCCCCTCTGCCTAACCTGCACCAAGAAAGCATGGCTGTGAGATATCCTCTGCTAGGAGGATGAAGTAAACAGGGTGTAGGACTTTACAGCTGGTACTAGATTAATTTGGAAGGACCTGCTAGCAAAAGTGAGACAGGACCATCTTTTTTCCATACACAGGTCCTCATCCCAGTCTCTGGAAGGGGTTGTCTGTACCTCCTTTGCTCTAGATGAGTTACATGAACTGAGATCAAGTGACCCAGTTTTTCATGTGTCCAGGAGCTGAGAGACTCAGAAGTTCAGGAGAAAAAAAAAATCACATTGCTCTTATTTTGCCATCTGTGCCTCGTCTCCCTGCATGCAGCTCTCAGGTTTGAACTTCCTGGGATGCTTCCAGAAAGCCTTACAGCAAGGGCTGGCACCGATGCTTCCCTATTCATAAGGCAGCTCCTTGACCAGTATGGACAGCTCCAAGGGAGAGGGAGCTGTATCATTTCTGTGCTGCCTTGCATTGCTGGCCTTCTGAGGTAGCCAGGAAAGGCATAGGTTAGTGCTAATTGAGATGTGGCCATCTGTCAGACAGGAAACATGCCAA